TATTAGGGAGAATATAGCTGGAGCAGTATCAAGGGTCCTGGAGAATCTTCTATTGGAATCATACTCGAGGTCCTTCTCTCCGGAGTCAATCGGTCTTACTAATAATGAAAAAATATGTGTCAACTAAAAATCTATCCCTTGATAACCCGCTAAAGAGACGTTAGGCAATTATATTAAAGGAATTAACATGGAGAATAAAGATTTTATTCGAAAACTTATATAAGCAAAATTGTTTAAAAAGTATATAAGTAGAGTTTCGAGACAACATCTCATATAACTAATTATTTATAGCCTGGCAACATTTTATAATGGAATCAGGCTCGTTTATTAACGTATATTCTTTAGCATGAAGGATGGGAAAAAGAAGATCATGAAAAAGTAAATATGAAAACGAATTGACATTCTTGGATGCGACAGTAATGAATTTACTCTTAAGCCAGGACATACCAATTCTGTAGTAATTTATTTTTAAGTTATGATATCTTTTGAGAGACATTCTATTCAGCATTATATTGTGCAATTATCGTGAGCTCATGCCAAATGTCAAATGTCTTGACGTACCAGTGAGCTTGTTATTATGGAATTCTAGCATTTTGGTAAGCAAAATATCTTCGGATGAAAAGGTATATGTAGAAGCTCTAAAGGTACTTGAAAAGGTGCCCACTTGAACAAAAACTACCGAAGATGAGATGAATTGGCGACGACCAGGTGCGTTGCCCATCCGCAATAATGCTAGTAATGCTCGACTCTAATAAGGCATTGTTGAAGGCAATTTTTTCCCGATCATTGTACAAGACGGCATTTAACGAATAGTTAGGCTATGAAATCCCCATTGAAGTTGGATTTAGCAGTGCAGGCTGTTAGCTGAAAAAATATATTTCTTCCATGAATGTATTGGAGGGTATACCAGATTAACTGCAAAACTTGACATTTCTGAGTGAACTTTATGCTACCCTTATCCCCAAGATGCATTTTATTTCCAACGAGGGCTCCTCTCTCTCTCTTTGCGATTTCATCGATGACCCAACTAGGCTTGAAATATGCTTCTCTGAAGAGACGGAGAGACTCGGATGCTCTGTTCATGTGCTAAGACTAGCTAAGCCTGTATTACTTTATTACAACTCTGTGTAACTAAGCGACAAGTGCCTTTAATAGACGACCCTCAAGTCTCGCTTCTTAAGGACTTAGCCTTATTTATTTCAAATTTAAAATACGCGGAAAGACTTGGTAATTTATTCATATTAACTTAGTTTGTAACAAAAAAAAATTCCCTACATTGAATAACTTTTATATTTGCTTACCAGGTCTCGTTTGCATCAAGGCGGTGATCACTCTTCGGTAGCAACTAAGCAGATCAGGTCCGAGTAACAAAAATGCATTTTCAAGGCTTGGTAGTTTCTTTAATTAGAAGAAAGTATGTTAAATGCCCAAACTATGTTGCTTAAAGAGGTTCTGCTATATTCGATAGATAACATCGAAAATATATCAAATGAATGTTCGTCCTCTTCTCAGTGTCTTTGCTGATGTCCATTGTCATGCTTGCACTGGCCTGCTAATGATCATTATTTTTGCTGTAAGGGATAGGTCTAGTCATTATAGGACTAGTAATTATCTTTTTATTTTATATTAGCCATTTAAAATTATTTAATTCTCCTTGTTATAGCGAAAATTCAATTATATTAATATATTGGCAAATTTAACTCTTGCCCACTTTTTTTATTCTAAGGTTATTTCACTTTTTTATTTATTCTGCCCATGAGACTAATGCATTCGTGCACTTTATAAGCAAATTGGTTCTGAATACTTCTTCTACCATCTCCTGAATGAAACTTTTTTCTTCTTGCCCTAAACTTAACGTAAGGTTTCGTCACGAATCGGCACCAACTGACAATCCTTAATGCAAGTCGAGAGTTTGCTGCAACTTATGCTTGCATGGCTACTAACGGACTGCAGGCAAATGCCACTCGAGAAATACGTCTGGATCTCACTTGTGAGTTACGTGTACATCTAATTTCAGAATATGCCATATCATGTCGTAAAAATCCAATTTTATTCATCAGAGCATTGTGCATGACATTACCGACCTATCTTAAAAGAACTTCTTAAAGTGGATAATTCCAAGTCCATGGCTAGTCGGTCCGTTTATAATAAGGCCAACTATTTTGGTAGACTGAACCGAATTATATAACCCTAAAAGGACAGTAAAGCTGTTAATTCATATAAACACTCACCTTCGAAAGGAGGGCTACTGTATGTTAGTTTATTCAAACATTTAAGTTTTCTGAATTATCACTAACCCGGGAGTAAGCTTGCTGACGTGAAACCTCGTTTAGTAAAAACTGTATTCTAGTTCACTAACTTGTCCTAACGGTATACAGGGCAAATGTACTTTCGTTGAAATGGGGTTTATTGCTGAAATATTTCTATTTCGTTTAAAAACGCTTTGGGTTTGAGCATGATATTTAGTCTAAGTCCATCCTTAACTGTGCAAACGATCAGCCTTTAGACAGAAGCTATAATGAATTTCATCTGAAAGAGAGGGCTCAATGCTCTGTTTGTCCTGATTATAACATCCATAAATACCCAAACATTTAAGATATTTGCATCAAATGAGAAAATCTTAGAAAGCATCAGACAAGAAATTTTGCATGAGAATTAGGCGTTGGAAATTCTTTGCATGGATTTATGCTAATTATGTGGAATTGATGCTAATAATGAATGGAAATGGCCTTCCGAATTGAAACATCCATACTTGATTACTATAAAGATGATAGATTGTTTGATAACTCCACCATTTCTGTAAACACTATGAATATCTATGAAAATAATCAACACGTATTTGCAATGGATTTTATGTTCATGCTTGGCAAACGACAGATTTTATCCATCAGCATCCCCAAAATCAATATTTCATGTAATAGTCTTCCTTGCAGAGCTATACTATTATAGGATCACCTACAGCGGGATACACACATTATTTGAAAGCAACTGCTACCGAAAATTCACCTATTGTTGGAACAGAATATTTTAATTAGCTAAGACTAACCGATTTTTTAATATTTTACAAATCCGTCCTGCCATCACCTGGTATGGCAAAGATTTTGGCTCCTATGGTAAAACCCGGTTGAATAGTAAAAGTGTAACTATTTATTTTTATATGATTTATGATTAAATGCATATAAACAATTTAAGAAAAACAAATTCAAATACGGTTATTTGCTGTGATACAGGAGAGTAGACGGCAAACGCCTTGCAGAATTGTAGTTCTATAGATATAAATACACGTTTCCCGTCGGAATTTTCACAGAAGTGCAATGTTGATGATCTGGAGATTCTGAAATTTCTTGTGAAGCAGTCCACAATATAATAATATGATAATGCTATCATTCATTTTGTGTACTTATAATTTCTCCTTAAAAGAATTTTCGTCCAGTCAATAAGGTTAATGACTCTCTCAAAAGTTTTCTCATCACTTTGCTAGCAGTCTCCCGATTTCGTTTTTATTATAAAACTTTAGTCTCCGAAAACACGCCATATCTATAGAAATGAAAAGTAACTTGATATCGATGAATCTATTAAAATAACATAATTAGAGAGATTTTCATCTCGTATTATATACATAATGAAGAGATTTGTAAGTTAATCTCACCGGAAAATGACTACTCATGCTTGTTGTATTGCAGCCGTTCGATTATAATAAGATGTTCATGTTGAAATAGTCTAAGAAAAATCTTCCCTCGATTCGTGTAAAGCAAGGCTGAAATGTTGTCCATCATATGATGGGCATCATCAGAATTGGAACTCATTCTTACAACAGTTTCAAGTTTGCACTCAGTCAAGAAGAATGTCCGGCTCTATCGTATGCCTTATATATATCCATAAATTAGAAACTAAAATGTATAGGTATATAAAGATAAATAATGATTTAAAGAATTCCCTTATGTATGTATGTGGGTGAGTTAGCGTCTGTACGCAATTGCATTCTTAAAGTACAGTTATTTGAAAAGCCTAGTAATAAGAGAAACATGATGCATGGAATCGCACTTTTTATACATAGAATTAAGGAAAGCTGCTTGTTTTGAGTGGGTTTAGTTGAAAATGTCTATGAATTCGTAAAATTTGTTGATCAGTAGATAATTTCAGTGAAAGGTAGGTCAGTATTTATTTATGCTTTGTCCATGTGCATAAATATTCCTTTCCAAGGAGCCACTCAGGTTCTAGTACAAACTCTAGAGAAGCATCCATAGATTACACAAAGAATAAGAATGAGTATAGCCTCCATCCTTAAACCTCTTAACGTATCCATGCGCATCATTTAGCTTTCACTTGTTGCTAAGCTTTTTGAAATGACGATCTTGCTTAGCTTCCATTTTAGTGAGCAATTTTGTAGTTAGACCTAAGGAACAATTTTGGACGAGGCAATACTAACCCCTAAATTGTTAGTTAACTATATGGAGGACTATTTGGTCATCTGGCCTCATCGTAAGGAAAGTTCAGATCGTTTCGTGATTTGTCTTATCCGTAGTGAAAGGAACATTATATTCACAATATAAATAGAAGAGCCGTGTCACTATGGTTCAGGCGTTCGTATTCGGCTATTCTTTGTAGCGGATCTACTGGGAACTTAACAGCCAGATGCTGAACAGCGCCTATGGACCCTGTCTTGTCATGAGGCTTAGTCGGAAATACTGTTTGGAAAGTTGGTTCTTGTGAACTTCACCAAGCCAGAACACCGTCTTCATCGTTAGAAGTTGAAAGACTGTCTCTTTTCTGCTCTTAAAAGAAAAGCAAGTTCTGAATAAAAGTAACCCTACAACGCATGTGTTAGGACTTGTTTAGGTGTGGCCCACATTGAAGTAGACAAACAATTATATGAAGGCTGGAGAAGTTAAAGCAAGTCAGAGACAAGTCAGAGGATATCAGACAGGGCCTGCAAACAACGGGACCTGACATCTTAAAAACTTAGTTACCTCAAAGGACAAATATGATTTACTGCTGAAGTGGTGGCATTTTATGTTAATTAAATATACATTTACTAGACTATAAGTATAATTAACCCAAGTCTTGCATTCCTAACCCTTTTTATGTGAATTGAGTCCCGGTCGAGATAAAAATGGCTAATCGTCGCATCGGCCAATACATCGGCGGTGTCACTATGGTGCAGGCGTTCGTATTCGGCTACCCTTTGGAGCGGATCTACTGGGAATTTAATAACCAGATGGTGAACAGTGCCTATGGACCCTGTATTTTGATGACGCTCAGTTCGAAATACTGCGTGGAAAGTTGGTTCTTGTAAACTATGAATACTTACCGCATATATGATTATTCCATTACAACATACAATGAAAATAGATATTTTTCTATATCGAGCTTTTTTGCACTACATTCGTGTAAATCCATTAATATCGCCCATAAAAATGCACCACAACAATTAATTTATTCAGATTTTATTATTTATTTTGGATGCA